CCCCACGACTTGGGAGCAGCAGGTGCCGCTGATCGAGTTCGCGTACAATAATGCCACGTCAGCGACGGCGCAGCATTCCCCCTTTTACCTGAACTACGGGCAAAATCCTACAGTGCCCATGACGCCGAGTCCGGACAACCCAACACCACGAGCACAGCAATTCGCCGAAATTCTGCAAGCTGCCCGCACCAGAGCCGTAGAAGTAATTAAAAAAGCAAACGCCATCGCTAAGCGCAACGCTGACCGCCACCGCCGCCCAGTCACATACCAGTTAGGGGATTACGTACTGCTCGACACACAAAATCTGCGACTGCCCGACGTACCAAAACTTCGACCGCGCTACTGTGGCCCATTCCAAATCAGCCACATGATCACGCCAGTAACCGCGCACTTACTGTTACCGACACACTGGTATATCAGCCCTACGTTCCACGTCAGCTTGCTTCGCCCCTACATCCCAACCACAAGCCAACTGCCTTGCCACCGCTTGCCATCCATGACTCGCCCTGCATCGGAGCCGATCATCGAGCCCGAAAAAATCATGAGCCATCGGATTCGACACCCCATGGGACTCAAGAGGATTGAATTCCTCGTCCGCTGGAAGGATCGCACGCCAACTGAGGACAGCTGGGTGCCCCTGGCCAACATCGAAAACCACCCTGCCCTGCAAGTGTACGTGAGGAGCCGGGGATTCCGCGATATACACGCACTCACGTAGCGGAGGGGGCTTGTTGAGGGGGGGGGGGGGGGGGGGTAGTGTAAGGAATTTTCTCGGCATTCCTTACGGAGCCCGACTACATCGCGTACAGCAACAGCCGTTGTTCGCCCGTTACGGCTAACGGGGCTTCGCCGACTTTGCGCACACTGTTTTCACCAAACCTCGCACTGCTGGCATGGCCGTGTCAACCTACGCTTCGGGACTAGCCCGAGCCTCGCTCCAGCGTAGCACTAGCTAGCTCGCACGCACCGCGTTACTGTTTGCATGTTTCGTGTATAAATGTTCGCTCATGCCTTCGCTTACATTTTGTACTCGTTTGACACCTTAGTGCAATTCTCGCTACTTCGATTCATTGCACCCGTAACAACTTCAAACAAGAGGCGACTAAATCGTCTTAGGGTTGCGAAGCAACAATTGTAACATGCCGAAAGATTTATTAACGACGTTGATTACTTGTCGTATTCGGATTAAATATATGGGTGCCATTTTTATGTCCTTATGTGAATGATGAGTTGAAGATTTTAATTGTTTTTGGGTATTTATGTAGACTTGATTTCTCTATATTATAGTAAGAACATTTATATGAGTATTGGATTTTGTAGGTTGTTTTCTTTGTTTATAGTTATAGATGTTGTTGATGTATCATTTGAACAGTTTTACAAAAAGGGAGGTGATGACGTCAGCTTCGTTTCGGTGACGTCATCGTCGTCAGAGTTTCGCGCGAAATTTCAGGTATCGATGATGACGCTAGCATTGAAATTTGTGCGAAATTTCGAAAGTCGCTGCTGACGTCAGGCACTTTTCTCGCGCGAGAAATTGTGCTGACGTCATCAGCGTCGCCCGAAATTAATCGAGCTCGCTGCTGACATGTGCTGTTTCTCGCGATTGAAGTGTGGGAAGGGGTTGGGCGAGGCGAGAATTGTGGAAGGGGGGGTTTCGCGTACAGTACGTTTGGTCCTTGTTCTTGTTGTCGTAACTGCTCATACGCCAGCTCACGTTTTTGGGTTGCGTAGCAACCTTATACATTCGTTTTCACTTTTCAGTTTGCTGACGTGAACAGTGAATTTCTCCCATCAATTTTGAAAGAAATCACTGTTCACCAACTTCCGGAAAAATGGAAACAAATGTTTCCAATCATTCCAAAATCGTCTATAAGTACGGCGAATGGAACAATTGGACAATCTTTCTAGCACTAATGACGATACCAAATGACACACGAACACAAGGACAGAACTGTCAGAATATTATCTTATTGTTCTAGCCTGTAGTGGGGTGCTCTATAGCGAGTACAACCCTTCTAGGGTTTGCTATTTGTATCCTCATTCTTGCTAGTTCAATCCTCTTTCCTTCTTCTAACTTTTGACATGCTATCAGAGCAGGTCGATCCCCTTGGATCGATCCTCTGGGTGGGCTCACCACCTCGTTGCTTCCGCTGCAACTGCTACTGCTACTCTCTATGCCGCACGCCCCGTGGCGTGCGGCAGTTTTTTTTTCTTCCCGCCACGTGCTCGGGGCGCATGGCGGTTTTCTGCCCACCGCGCGCTCAGTGCGTGCGGCGGTTTTCTGCCCACCGTGCGCCCCGAGGCGCGCGGCGGTTTCCTGCTTCGCGCGGCGGTATTCTGCACGCCATGCGCTCAGGACGCGTGGCGGTTTTCTGCCCACCGCGCACCCTGGGCGCACGCGGCGGTTTCGCGTTCCGTCGACCCGCACGCCCGTCCCCGTCGACCTGCGTGCGGCTCCTCGTCGCCCTTCGCGGCGTCCCCGTCAACCCGCGCGAGGCTCCCTGTCGCCCTTAGTGGCGGCCCCGTCGACCCGCGCGCCGCCTCCGGCGACCGGTGTGCCCATCCCCGTCGACCCGCGTGTCGCCCTGCGGCCCCCCCCCCCCCCCCCCCTCCCCGCACACCTGCGTTTGCTTACCGCACACCCGAGTTCGCTTCCCGCACACCCGATTTTGCTTCCCGCACGCTTGTGCATGCTTCGCGCACACCTGAGCTCGCCTACCGCACACTCAGGGTATGGGGGTGACGGGTATGGGGGTGGCGGGTGTGCGCGGTCCCCTGCTCCTCCTCCTCCGTCTCCCACTGCTGCAGCTGCCGCTGAGGGGGGTGGGTGTGTGGGAGACGAAGGAGTGGTGCTAGGGGGGTGTGTGGGAGTAGAGCTAGTGGTGTAGCAGTGGGTGTGTATGAGGGGGGTGGGACTGTGTGCGGGAGGATGAGTGGAGGTTGCCAGTTTGTCGTCAGCAACACCTGTATTCCGGGGGCTTCGCCCGGTAGCCCAGTCGTAGCCAGCTGTGCCAGCCGCCCGTGGGTCCGTTGCTCGTCTGCCGCTACTTTAGCCGCGGGGCCAGTTACTCCAGTAGTCCGGGGGCGTCGCCCGGTAGCCGCTGTGCCAGTGTGCCTCCTGTTGCCCGTGTGTCTGCAGCTTCAGCTGTCGCCTCCCAACTCCTCTCGCTCTCACTCCTCCTCCTCACTTGCCCGTTGTGACCACCACTAGTTTTGCTTATAATTGTGAACTATGAACTATTTCTTCTTGAACTTGTGCTCAGAATGTGTGGTGACATTGTGATCCACCCTGAGCTTGTTTTGTTTTGCCTGCACTGCTGATTACACCCCACTTTGGCTATGGGGGTGTGTCAGAATATTATCTTATTGTTCTAGCCTGTAGTGGGGTGCTCTATAGCGAGTACAACCCTTCTAGGGTTTGCTATTTGTATCCTCATTCTTGCTAGTTCAATCCTCTTTCCTTCTTCTAACTTTTGACAAGAACCACCGAAAGACACACATACACAAATGGTCACAAAAGCAGCCGGGTACAAGAACCGTCGTACATGTTTTGGGGGGAGTGCAAAATGCATCGATGCAGCAATTGAGGTTGATATGGTACGGAAGAGGCGAGCAAAGCTGCCCCACCGACGATCACAATCTCAGTTGCATACACGAGGCACTCGCACACTCCCAAAACAAGCACATGCGATAACACAAACAAACTGGTGCAGAAACAGATAACGATTGAGAATGTTTCAACGCGAATACTAAATGCATCAATGCTGCAACTAAGATTGATATGGTACGGAAGAGGCTAGCAAAGCTGCCCCACCGACGATCACAATCCGAGTTGCATTCACGAGGCACTTAGCACCACACCTTGAAACACACACAACACATGTACACATGTACGCACTCAAACATACAGGCTCACACATACAGTACACAACGACACACACGCAAAAACATACAGCTACGGTAATAAGCATGCAAGCATAATGAATGGAGTTCAGCCTTGTATAAATCATCACTAGCTTGTCCCCCATTCCCCCCCCTCCCTCCCTCCCTCCCTCCCTCACTCCCTCCCTCCCTCCCTCCCTCATTCATTTCCCTTATGTTCTCCCTTCTCCCAATCCCTTTTGTCCGCAAGAAACAAGGGCTGCAGCTTTAACTTCCTGCGCACGAAAGAAGAAACAACAAATGCAACTCACTCCCTGCACAAACAAAAACGAAAACTTGCATGAGTTGCACAAGAAATCAAAATCAGCGAGTGCAGTTTCCTTGACGCACAAGAAACAAAAAACAGAGAACGCAGCTCACGCATGCACTAGAAACGAAATAAGAACAATAGAAAATGGTGTTGAAGAACGCATAGATCAATAAAAGACAGCAATTAGACTTTCACAACTCACGGTGCTAATTTGGAACAAGTCGTGGCACCACAGATACTACACCGGAATGATGCAATACCTTGCAGCTACCCTCGCGTTCAGCTTCTCAATCACATTTGCACTCAATCACACACGCACAAATACTCTCAACTTTATTAGACACTCACATAAACAAACATTTAAATCTACACGCTCATTCTTGCACAAACCCTCGCACTTATGATCGTTCTCATTCACAATAACACTCACACAAAAACTTACATGTGCATGCAAACACACTCGCACGCACCCTTGCAATAACACTCGCACTTGCTCTCGCACTCACTCTGGCACACACAGTGGCACGCACTCTCATCCTCGCGCGCACACCCTCTCATCCTGGCGCTTTCTCATGCGCTCTCTCACGCACTCTCTCACGCGCACTCTCACACGCACTTTTTCGCGCTCTCTCATGCGCACTCTCACGTGCACCCTCACGTGCTCTCCCACGTTCTCTCTCACGCGCACTCTCAGGCGCATTCTCACACGCTCACTCACACGCTCTCTCACGCTCTCTCACACGCACCCTCACGTGCTCTCTAACGCGCACTCTCACAAGTCTCCCATGCGTCTCCCACATGCACTCTCATGCGCACTCTTGTGCGCTCTCTCACGCACTTGCCCACGCGCCCTCTCACGCGCTTGCGCACGTGCTCTCTCACGCGCTCTCCCACGCACTCTCTCACGTGCACTCTCACGCGCGCACTCTTTTGTGCTCTCTCACACGCACTCTCGCGTGCACTCTCACTCACGCTCTCTCTCACGTTCTCTCTCACACGCACTCTCACGCGCTCTCTCACGCGCACTCTCACGCGCACTCTCACGCGCATTCTCACATGCTCTCTCTCACGCTCTCTCACACGCACTCTCACACGCACCCTCACGTGCTCTCTAACATGCACTCTCACGAGTCTCCCATGCGTCTCCCACATGCACTCTCACGCGCACTCTCGTGCGCTCTCTCACGCGCACTCTTGTGCGCTCTCTCACGCACTTGCGCACGCGCTCTCTCACACGCTTGCGCACGCGCTCTCTCACGCACTCTCTCACGAGCACTCTCATGCGCTCTCTCACGTTCTCTCACACGCACTCTCATGCGCTCTCTCACGCGCTCTCTCACGCGCACTCTCACGCGCATTCTCACATGCTCTCTCACACGCTCTCTCACATGCTCTCTCACGCTCTCACATGCACCCTCACACGCTCTCTCACGCGCCCTCTCACGCACACTCTCACACGCACTCTCACACGCACTCTCACACTCACTCTCACGCGCTCCCTCTCGCGCACTCTCACGCGCAATCTCACACGCTCTCTCACGCGCACTCTCACGTGCACCCTCACGTGCTCTCTAACGCGCACCCTCACAAGTCTCTCACGCGTCTCCCACGTGCACTCTCACGCGCCCTCTCACGCACTCTCACGCGCACTCTCACGCGCACACTCACGCGCACTCTCACGCACACACTCACGCGCTCTCTCACGCGTTCTAGCACACGCTCTCTCCTGCGCTCTCTCACACCCGCTCTCACACGCACTCTCGTGTGCTCTCTCACGCGCTCTCTCACGCGCACACTCATGCGCACACTCACATGCCCCTTCACGCGCTCTCTCACGCGCACTCTCACGCGCACCCTCACGCGCTCTCTCACGTTCTCTCTAACGAGCTCTCTCACGCGCACCCTCATACGCACTCTCACACGCTCCCTCACACGCTCTCTCACACGATCTTTCACGCTCCCTAACGCGCACTCTCACGCGCACTCTCATGCGCTCTCTCACGCGCTCTCTCATGCACTTGCGCACGCGCTCCCTCACGCGCTCTCTCACGCGCCCCCTCACGCGCTCTCTCATGCGCCCCCTCACGCGCTCTCTCATGCGCACTCTCACGTGCTCTCTCACGCGCACTCTCACGTGCTCCCTCACGCGCTCTCTCACGCGCTCTCTCACGCGCTATCTCACGCGCTCTCTCACGCGCTCTCTCACGCGCTCTCTCACGCGCTATCTCACGCGCTCTCTCATGCGCACTCTCACGCGCACACTCATGTGCACTCTCACGCACACACTCACGCGCACTCTTACGCGCACACTCATGTGCACTCTCACGCACACACTCACGCGCACTCTTACGCGCACACTCATGTGCACTCTCACGCACACACTCACGCGCACTCTTACGCGCACACTCACGCGCTCTCTCACGCGCACACTCACGCACTCTCTCACGCGCTCTCTCCCCACTCTCTCACGCGCACTCACGCGCTCTCTCACGCGCAATCTCACTCGCTCTCTCACGCGCACTCTCACGCGCTCTCTCACGCGCACTCTCCTGCGCGTTCGCTCCCTTGCACACGCTCTCCCTCGCTCTTCGTCTCTCCCCTTCTTCAAATGAAAGTGCAATGCAAGAGGAGACCAATGACACACAAAATTTACAAAGAAGCAAAAATTAAGTCAGGAAATATCAGAGGCGGAAGGGTGGATGAAAGGACCGGGAACGCACCTGATAACAACGGTGCCTCAGAAAACAACCCGCGCTGGCGCACCAACCCGCGCTCGTGCACCAGCCCGCGCTCGCGCACCAACCCGCGCTCGCGCACCCACCCGCGCTCGCGCACCAACCCGCGTTCATGCACCAGCCCGCGCTCGCACACCAACCCGCACTCGCACACCAAGTCTCGCTTGCGCTCGTGCACCTGTCGCCGGAGGCGACGGCGGGAGGGAAGGAGAGGCGATGGCGAGGAGGAGGGAGAGGCGACGGCGGGGAGGAGGGAGAGGCGGGGGCGGGGAGGAGGGAGAGGCGGCGGCGGGGAGGAGGGAGAGGCGACGGCGGGGAGGAGGGAGAGGCGACGGCGGGGAGGAGGGAGAGGCGACGGCGGGGAGGAGGGAAACGCGACGGCGGGGAGGAGGGAGAGGCGACGGCGGGGAGGAGGGATACGCGACGGCGGGGAGGAGGGATACGCAACGGCGGGGAGGAGGGAAAGGCGACGGCGGGGAGGAGGGAGAGGCGACGGAGGGGAGGAGGGAGAGGCGACGGCGAGGAGGAGGGAGAGGCGACGGCGGGTAGGAAGGAGAGGGGACGGCGGGTGGAAGGGAGAGAGGACGGCGTGGTGGGAAAGAAAGGATGGCGGGGTGGAGGTAGAGATTATGACGAGGTGGGTGGTGGGAGAAAGAGGCAAGAGGTGGGTGGGTTTGTCACGTGAAAACACACGCACAATCACGTGACACTGAGTGGGCTGAAAACAACTCACTATGAACCACACAAAATAGTGCAATGTTACAATACAAAGTATTATCTTTGAGGAAAGAGATCATTGTTCACTATAGATCATTGTTCACTATACAAAACAAAAAACGATCGATGTGTCTAGATCTTAACATATTAGAAACGTCAATTGTTAAGAATCATAAACATCCACATTGAAATGAATAGATTGAACCATAAAAAAAGCTTGCCATATTCCTTGAACGGTAGACCTAGATTTGACGATTTAAAAAACCGCAATTTGTTTTTGTCAACTAAGAATGTAACATCTACGCAACCCTTCCGACGTTAACGTCGAGTCTTGTTGTTTTTGTTTTTTTTTTTTGTTTTTTTAGTTTTTCGTCTGCTCTGCTTTTGTCCTATCTTTCAGTTGTAACTGTAGAATGAAAACGATTTTCAAGTAGGAACAAAACAAACTGTTGTCAAACTATTACAACTGTAAATTGTCAACAAATTGACTATGAACTATGAACTAGAAACAAAACAAACAGCATTGTTCAGTTGGCTGTTTTGTTTCTAGCTCAATGCTTCCAACTGTTTTTTTTGTTTCCACTGCACAGTAACAATTCTCTTACCATCGGTCAACTTTGTATCCAATCAAGAAAGGCTCTTCCACTTCTCTCTTCCCAAAGCAAACCCTCTAGCCCTTTCTCCCTTTCTTTCCCATCCTTCTCTTACTCAAACCAAACTCCACATTTTCTTGGAGCTTGTTTCATTGTTCTTCCTCACAACACATTCAAGCTCAACACTTTCAAGCTCTTTTAGTGGTCACATTCAAGGTACCTAGTGATAACTCTTCAAGCTCTCTTTTATCTAGTGATAACTATTCTTGGTTCTCTCTTGCTACATATTAAGTGAGTTGAGATATTCTCTTCTTTAGTTAACTACTCTATTTCAAACTCTTCCAGCTGTCAGATTATTATAGCTGATGCATGTTTGTAGGCTATAGTGGGGTAGCACATATGGGGTACAGTTTGCTAGGGTTGTATTTGTACCCAACTCTGACTTAGTCAATTCATTCCTGTTCAGTTAGTTTCACATGGTATAGAGCGGGTCCCTCCTAAGGACCGTTCTTTGGGCCCACCCACGATTTTTTTTTCCTGCCCGGAGCGCGCCCTATTCTCCCCGAGGCGCGCTCCCCCTAGTGCGCGTCGAGCTGCCCTTGTGGCGCCCCGAGAGTCGCGCGCGCGACTCATTTTTTTCGCGCGCGCGGCCCAGGCCCCACTTCGCGCGGCCCTTACAGCCGCGCCGCGCCGCCCTCTCGGCTCTGCCGCGCCGCGCCGCCCTCAAGACGGCCGCGCGGCCTCTTCGTCGCTGCAGCAGGCCCCCCCCCGCTGCACCTCTTTCGGCCCCGCAGCCGCCTTACCTGACGGCCGCCGCCTCACCTAACGGCCCGCCGCCTCGACTTCTGGCCCGCCACCTCACCAGACGGCCCCCCCGCCTCACCTGACGGCCCACCGTCTCACCTGCTGGCCCGCCACCTTACCTGACGGCCCCACCGCCTCACCTGACGGCCCGCCGCCACCTTACCTGACGGCCCCGCCGCCTCACCTGACGGCCCGCCGCCTCACCTACTGGCCCGCCACCTGACTTGACGGCCCCGCCGCCTCACCTGACGGCCCGCCGCCTGACCTGCTGGCCCGCCACCTCACCTGACGGCCCGCCGCCTCACCCGCTGGCCCGCCACCTGACCTGACGGCCCCGCCGCCTCACCTGCTGGCCCGCCACCTGACCTGACGGCCCCGCCGCCTCACCTGACGGCTCGCCACCTCGCCTGCTGGCCCGCCACCTGACGGCTCCGGCGTCCCCTGTCCCGGCCCCGCCGCTGCACCCTGACGGCCCCGCCGTCCCCTGCCCCGGCCCCGCCGCTGCACCCTGACGGCCCCGCCGTCCCCTGTCCCGGCCCTGCAGCTGCACCCTGACGGCCCCGCCGAGCCGCCCAGCAGCAGCCGAGCCGCCCAGCCGCAGCCGAGCCGCCCAGCAGCAGCCGAGCCGCCCAGCAGCAGCCGAGCCGCCCAGCAGCAGCCGAGCCGCCCAGCAGCAGCCGAGCCGCCCAGCAGCAGCCGAGCCGCCCAGCAGCAGCCGAGCCGCCCAGCAGCAGCCGAGCCGCCCAGCAGCAGCCGAGCTGCCCAGCAGCAGCCGAGCCGCCCAGCAGCAGCCGAGCCGCCCGGTACCCGAGCTACCCGAGCCGCCCGAGCCGCCCGAGCCGCCCGAGCCGCCCGACCCAGCCCGAGCTGCCTGCTGCTGTCCTACCCGACTCTCCTAGCCCGGTGAGACTTTCAGCTGCTGCCATGGCCACCCCCAATGTTCTTACTTTTGACGCTGAGGGGAGGGCCATTGACTTTGCCGTCTGGATTGAAGACCTGCAGCTGTACTTACTGTGTGATGCGATAGATGGGGTCTCTCTCTTTGACTTTGTCTCTGGCGCTGTCCCTGCCCCGCCTGCTGATGCTGACTCTGCTGCTCGCTCCAAGTGGGCGACCCGCGATGCTGCTGCACGTCTTGCTGTGCGTCGCCACCTCCCTTCCTCTGAGCGTGCCCACTTTAGTCAGTGCAAGACCGCTCAGGCCTTGTACGACGCTGTAGTTGCACGCTACTCCTCCCCTTCCTCCGCTACCCTTAGCCGCCTCATGCTACCGTTTCTCTTCCCTGACCTCGCTTCCTTTCCCACTGTTGCTGACCTAGTTACCCACCTCCGCGCTAGTGACACCCGCTACCGTGCTGCCCTTCCTGCTGAGTTCCGCGCTGCGAACCCTCCTCCCATGTACATCACTCTCTACTTTCTCGTCACCCGTCTCCCTGAGTCCCTTCGTGTCGTTAGGGACCAGTTTCTCTCTGTCTGTCCCACCACTCTCACTGTCGACCTCCTTGAGGAGTCCCTGCTAGCGGCTGAGAAGAGTATTGTCGCTGTAGGGGCCTCTCGGGGTGACCCTCGCACCCCCATCTTTGAGGGGTGTGGTCCTTCCCCCCTGCTGCCCTCTGTCGCCTCTGCCGCTGCGGCCGACCTCGCTGGTTTTGAGTCGGTCGGTGCGGCGTCTGCCCCCAGCGGCAGACGCCGCTCTGGCAAGGGCAAGGGGGGCAAGGGGGCGGGTGGAGCTAGAGGGGGCGGTGGGGGAGGCGGTGGGGGTGGAGGGGGGAGTGGGGGTGGCGGTGGGGGTGGTGGCGGGAGTGGAGGTACTAGTGGCGGCGGTGGAGGCGGAGGTGGCGGCGGAGGTGGTAGCGGAGGAGGCGGTGGGAGCGGTGGGAGCGACGGTCCTGGTGGGGGAGGTGGCGGTGGGGACGGGGGTGGCGGTGGAGGCGGGGGTGGCGGTGGAGGCGGGGGTCGGAGTGGCTCGTCCCAGCGGAGCAGCTCTGGGGGTGGTCAGCGCCAGCAGCAGCAGCAGCAGCAGCAGCAGCAGCCGCAGCAGCAGCAGCGCTCTCGCACCGTCCCCGGCCCTCAGCAGCTCCGTGAGTGGTACTTGCAGCGTCAGCGCGGTGGTGCGCTTGGTCCCTGCCCCTACGTTCTTCGCACCGGTGACCGTGCGGGGGAGAGGTGTGGAGGCGCCCACACAGCCCGTCGCTGCTTTGGCCGCCTGACCGACGCCTGGCGTCAGCAGTTTCCGGAGGCCGCTGAGATCCCCCGCTGGGGAGAGCTGTCTAGGGCTGGAGTAGCTATTTATGATCTTGACTTTGATGCTATTCTCTCTGCTATGTATGCTGTGACTGGTAGTGATGAGGATGACTGTTACCGGTGTTTCCCGCCCGACCCGGGCATTGGTACTGCCGCGTCAGGTACTAGTGAGGCTGCAGCTCTAGGTGCCAGTGCGTCTGTGCTCTCAGGTGCTGGTGAGTCCGCGCTCTCAGGTACTGTGTCGGCTTCGGCCTCTCACACCTTCACCCTTGACTCTGGAGCGTCTCGCTCCTTCTTTAGGGACCGCACCACTCTCACGCCGCTGAGTCGGCCGGTTGCGGTGTCCCTGGCTGACACCTCTGGGGGACCTGTCCTGTCTCGCTTCTCCACTGTCCTCCCGTGTCCAGCGGCCCCCTCTGGCACCGTGACTGGTCTCTACCTCCCCTCGTTCTCGACGAACTTGGTGAGTGGTGCTGACCTCCAGGATGCAGGTGTCCACCAGTTCACCCCTGCTCGTCAGCGGGTGACCCACTGTACGGAGGCGGATACAGGTCGTCACCTGGCTACGTTTACACGTCGGCCAGGGTCGAGCCTGTACACACTGACCACTGCTTCTCCTCCAGGTGCTGCGTCTGGTAGAGTCCCTTCGTCTGGTCAGGTGTTTGCTGCAGCGTCCAGGTCTGGTCCTGAGTCTGCCCCCTGTTCGTGTCGTCGTCTGTCTCACGAGACCCTCCTCTGGCACCACCGCCTTGGCCACCCCTCTCTGCTTCCACTCAGAGGCATGGCCTCGCGGGTCCTTGTGTCTGGTCTTCCCCGGTCCCTCCCTCCCCTTCCTCCGGGCCCTGGCCCTGCCTGTGTCCCCTGTGTCGAGGGGCGCCAGCGTGCTGCCCCTCACTCCTCCCAGTTTCCTCCGACAGAGGCCCCGTTGCAGACGCTTCACATGGACGTGTGGGGCCCAGCCCGCGTCCGTGGACAGGGTCAGGAGCGCTACTTCCTGCTGGTGGTTGACGACTACTCGCGTTACACCACAGTCTTCCCCTTGCGCAGCAAGGGTGAGGTCACTGAGGTGTTGATCGACTGGATCCGCGCAGCTCGTCTTCAGCTTCGGAGGAGCTTTGGCTCTGACTTCCCTGTTTTGCGTCTGCACTCGGACAGAGGCGGAGAGTTCTCCTCTGGCCTCCTGAGTGCCTACTGTCGTGTGCGGGGCATCCGTCAGACCTTCACGCTTCCGGACTCACCACAGCAGAATGGGATTGCTGAGCGCCGCATTGGCATGGTCATGGACGTCGCTCGTACGTCCATGATGCATGCGGCTGCTCCCCATTTTC